ATATATATATATATATATATATATATATATATATATATATTATTTCAAGTTCACGGAAATTACTTTCATGGAATTTCATGAAAAGCAAGCGTTAGACTTCGCTAAAATATCTAACGAGACTAATTAGTTTAGAAGAAGAAATAAATCATCTAATGTGCATATTCGCGCTTTCTGAGAACTTTGGAAGAATAAGGCAATTATCTACTTTTACGCGAAAAACGCACAACTGAAGTATCACACATTATAATTAAATATATATACTTTAAACCAATAAATCTATCAAAATATGATAGATGATAAAATCTATTCTTTTTTTTCTATTCTTTCTTATTTTCTGTTTTTCTAATATTTAACACGTCACATCACAATAATTTTTAATTAATTATACAACTTTATTTTGTTTTTAATGAATTCTTATCGGAGTAAATGTAGTATATGTACATAGTCAAATTAGAAAATATGATCAAAAAAAGTTTGGCTCAAGAGTTGCGACGTAATATTTCGATTATCGCTAACCCATACGATATTAAATTTATCGTATTTCACAAATCAATCTTTCTTTTTTTCTTTGTTTTTACATAACTTCATTGTGAATCTGCGCGCGGTCTTAGTTTTGCTCTCGCTGTTATTAAAAGATTGCTCGGTGGCTCCGTCGGTTGGGATTGTTCCAGCTGAAAAATCGAAATATCAGAAAGGCGTAAAGATTTAATTAAAAAGAAGAAAAGCGTTTTGTATAAAAATAGAAAAGATAGAAAAAGATACTAACTGCCATTTCAATATGCTTTGCCCTTTGCTCGATTGCTCTTTGTAAGGCAGTTCGGGGATCGTCTTTGTAGTTCTCCTCTCGATTTCTTTCAGCTTCTCTCCTCGAGGCAGCTTCCCTCTGTTTCTCGAGCGCTCGTTGAAGCTCGCTTTTTTGATTCAGCACGTTTTTGCCACTGGAAGAAAGTGAAAATCGATTAGCTAATTATGCGGGGAACGTATCTCGCCGACAAAGATTATGGGCTGCGCGTGAAAATTGCTATGATGAGAAAAATGCGCGTGAACAACCTTTCAATTGAATAGCGGACCTGTTTAAACCATAAAAGTGACTGGGAATGAATTACAGGGAATATATTAACAGGAAACGATTTTCTCGATGATAGGCGTGCGAAGTGCGAAAGTCTCTTTTCTATTATTATACATATATATATATGCATATATATGTATGCAAATAAAAAATAAAAAACTAAAAATCATTATTTAAATATTAAAAAAAAATGTTTGTTTTAATAACATATTTTAAGAAATTTAAGAATATGTTAAAAATATTTTGCGTTAATATTTGCATTAATTTATCTCATGGATATTTGACTTTAGATTTCATTGCTCGTACTTCGCGAGCAATGTCAAGGATAAAAATAATACTTTTGCTTAAATTATGACGTAAGTCAGTTATAAATTATTTATTATATTCTTAAAATGCAGATGAAATATATGTATCACTTCTTTGGAATCTTTCGATATGCTATAATAATATACGAATATTCACAGATACCATATATAACGTGTCACAAAGATGTTCTATCGTATATACAAAATTATGCTAACATAATTCAATGCTTAAAAGATTCCATGTCATAAATATAGATTAAAAGAAGCTTACACTTTCTGATTGAATAATAATTCCCTTCGAAGATCCTTGTGATTCGTGGATGAAAGGTAAGGATTATACGGTTTTCTCGGCAAGATCAATCCATCTGGTCCCATGTGAGGAGCAGGTGGTGGAGGAGGTGGTACACCCAACACTGGTGCCATCTTTCGTCCTAAAAAAGAACAAATCACATAAATATAAATTTATGATAGCAAAGATGTTTGAAGATTGATTGTAGTTAGGTGGATATACACGGAACATAATGTTACCGTATCGCTAATATATCTAGCCAATCAGAAACGTACGATAATAAAGATGCGAAAGAGATGGAAAATATTTGAAAAGCATTAGATCTATGTTTTACATCGAGCGGAAAAACGAATTTATGTATGAAAGATTAAATAATAGCAGCAGCAAAATGTTTAAAAATTAATTTCATAATTTCGAGTAATAATGAAAAATAAAAGTAAATAATTTTACAAGTAAAAAATTAAAAAAAAATTTGAAAAAAGGGATAGTGGATTCGAGATAAGTATTTAATCGTGAAGAAAGAAAAACTAAAATGGTAATCGGTAGATCTCTGCGGTCAGGTTTTTTATTCACCCTCCAACAAAGCGATTCTTTCCCTGATGGAAACCTCCTCGCACATTGCCGCGGATTGTACTGAAGTATTTCCGGGCGAAAACCGTATCAAACAGGCAACTTGTATATACTTTTGCGTAAGGCTTCGCATAGCTGCTAATCGGATAGAAAAATACGCGGCATCAACCGCCATATACCTATCTTTTATGCCTTCAAGGTAAAGTAAACAATGCGCTCTTATCATATTAAACCGAATTTTTTAATTGAACGTAGAGAATACTATATTAGATCGAATAAATGATCGTAAATATCTCATCACATTTAACGTGGATACGTCCATCGGTTGTCGTAGAAATTATTGTAGAAAGCGTCGTTGTTCCAATTCCAAAGGTAATCATTTCAAATATACTATTTTTTCCACAAATTGATCATTTCGCCAAAGAATCGTTAATACAATTGATGAAATTTATTACTAGATCCATTGATGACATTAATTTTTGATCAAACTCATTAATCAAAATATAATTATAATTATAATATATATATAATTATAATTATAATTATAATCAAAATATAAAATATAATTGAAAAACTAAATCGTCAAAAAAATTGAAATTGATTTAATTTAATCATTGATTGATTAAATTAATTAATTATTATTATTTAAACAATTTTTATCATATTTATTATTATACTAATTTTTTAAACATATGATTGTTAAATAAGAAAAATTTATTTTAATAGAAAAATTTGTTGAAAATACAGAATAATAAACATGAAAATTATATCAATTAATAAATCGCATTAAATATTTCAGTCATCAATTGTAATTAAAAATGAAATAAAAACGTAAATATATTTAAATGTGATTAAAAATTTATTTTTCACTAATTGTTTATTGTTAATTTTTGCTCAAATTATTTCACTTGTTGTAACGATATTATCAATATTTCGAATTTCGATTAATTATCGATATTTTTCGATAATTTAATCGATATAGTTAATTTCTAATCGTTATACGTTTATACAAGCTTTCTTCCTTTAAAAAAGTTCGTGGAACTTCAGAATTTTATTCAAAATTACAATTCCTCGAAACAGTTGAAAAGAATGCAGGTCAAAGATACCTCGCGTGATTTATAATCAACGGAATGGAACTCGTGTCTTTCTTCCGGTTACTTTCTTTTGTTACGACCTAGAGAATTCCCAAAACCTGGTTCTCGATCGTTGTCGATTTAATCGCTGTGAAGATCTGCTACTTTACGGTGATTCAACCACTTTTCGCACCCGTGCATGCGACAAAAATATGGTTTTGTAATATTATTCATATCTATTATCGTTCAATGGAATTTTTTCTTTAAACTCGTTAAGTGCAAATATAATACTAGATTTTATTCAACAAATGATATCGTGATATTAGTTTCGAAATCTTCTTTATTTTTTCCCTATTATACTTTTTAAAGGAAATAAGAGTGAATATAATTCAAAAAATAAGATAAAATTTATGATCTAATTGTGATTACTATTGCACAAGTTATTAGAAAGCAAGCAATAAGAGTACAGAATTAATTTGATCTAACTCTCTTTTAAATTATAATGTTTATATTATTAATAATTATTTTCTTAATTTATTAGAAATTCAATGTTATTACATTTAAAGAATTTGAATAAAATGTACATCATGTTTTATATAATTAGATATATGAGTTTTGCACAATATAGAATTTTTCTCTTTATAATCAAAAGAGAAATGCCAAAAGAGAAACTATTTAAGCTTTTTGAAATTATAGCATTAATATTTTCATTAATATTTTCATTAAATTATATATTAATTAAAAATACTTTTTATTAAAGTTATTAGCTGTATATCCAATTTTTGCCTCTCACTATATCCTTCTTCATAATGTAAAAAGAAAAAAAAAAAATAAAAAAAATTTTTTTTTTCCTTACATTTATTATTTTATAAATTCAAAACATTTTACCAGAGATAAAATAGATATGTTGAATCTAATATCACGTGTTGCTATATCGCAACTCATATCTTAGAAAAACAATGGTACCAATTTGATTCGCTCAGATCTCAATTTTACCCTATTTTTATCTAGATTAGAAAGAACCGAGAGAGTTGTAAGTTTCGCCACTCGATGGCCATGCATCAAAAGGGAAGTGGATCATTCTCGATTTTACGAGTGAAAATCCGCCACATCACGTTCGAGCTCGTAACGAGCAGATATCTTTTGCGGATTCGCTGAATTAAGTTCCTCACGAAGCGTCGCCACCGAGAGACACGCATACACCATAAACCACGGGAATCGGTTTCAGCGAGAGCTGTCAAGAAATGAAAGTAAAGAACACTTTGTAAAATCATTTTCTATTCAATTCTAATCGTTT